TGAGTGGGGCCCTGTGAGGGAGAATGGAGACCCAGGAGGGTGAGTGGGGACCCATGAGGGTCAGTGTGGACTTGTGGGGGTGAATGGAGACCCATGAAGGGGCTCCTGAGGATGAGTGGGGTCTCATGAGGGTGAATGGGACCCGTGAGGGAAAACTGGGGCTTTTGAGGGGTCCTGTGAGGGCAAATGAGGGTCTGTGAGGGACCCCACGAGGGCAAGTGAGGGTGACCAGAGTCCTGCAAGGGTGAGAGGAGTCCTGTGAATGGGGGCTTCTGAGGGGCTCATGAGGGTGACTGGGGGTCTCCTGAGTGTGGAGGTGGGCGAGTGGGACTGATGGCTGTTCCCGGCAGGTACGGAGAGAAGGGCAAGGCCATCCGCATCGAGAAGGTCATCTACACCGGGAAAGAGGGCAAGAGCTCCCGGGGCTGCCCCATTGCCAAGTGGGTGAGTGCCTGTGCCCCGCTTCTGTCCCCCCTTGGAGCCCCCCAATGCTCCTGCCCCCCTTCCTGGGCACAAGGAGGTTCTCCACCAGCGGTGGTTACAGTGGGCAGGGGTGGGATGGTCAATTCGTGGCTGGCAAGGAGGAGGCAAGAGCTGTGCCCACCCCCAGGGAAGCTCCGTGGGGATTCCCACCCTCAACATGTCCATTGCCTACACTCCAAAGCCCATGGGGGTGAACACAACCATGGGACACCCACATCCCCACAGAAAGCAGCCAGGACCCACTTTTGGAGTCCTCCCCATCCCAGGAGGTGGTTGATGGAGTGGTATTTATTGACTTGGTCCCCCCACATCCCCACAGAAAGAATCCAGGACCTACTTTTGGGTTCCCTCATCCCAGGAGGTGTTTTTGGAGTGGTGTTTGTTGAACTGGCCCCTGTGTTTCCCAGGTGATTCGCAGACACAACCAGGAGGAGAAGCTGCTGTGCCTGGTGCGGCACCGGGCCGGGCACCACTGCCAGAACGCCGTGATCATCATCCTCATCCTGGCCTGGGAGGGCATCCCCAGGACCCTGGGGGACACCCTGTACCAGGAGCTCACCGACACCCTCACCAAGTACGGCAACCCCACGAGCCGCCGCTGCGGCCTCAACGACGAGTAAGTGCCACTGCTGCCAAATCCCCTGGAACCACTGGGATTTCAGTGTTAGGGAGCAAGGCAGTGCTTTATTCTTGGCCAGGAGGTTTCAGAATCTCAGAATCATTTAAGGTTGGAAAAGATCATCCAGGTCATCAAGTCCAACCATCAACCAGCACCACCACCGTGTTCAGTACTAACCAGGTGTCTCTGAGTGCCACATCCACACATCCTCTGAACACTTCCAAGGGTGGTGACTCTACCACCTGCCTGGGCAGCCCATTCCAATACATGACCACCCCCTCAGTGAAGGGATTCAGTCTAAACTTCCCCTGGCACAACTTGAGGCCGTTTCCTCTTGTCCTGTCTCTTGTTCCCTTTGTGTGTGACCAACAAAATCCTGGCCTCCACACCGGCACCGATTCAAAACTTTTTCACCTGTTTATACATTTTTAGCAAACAATGAAATTAATGTTCATTGGTTCTAAATTACATAATTCTCTTTCATTAATTAGTATTCTCTGTTGGTTATTGATTTCTTACTTTTTATGCTAATTAGTCCATATTTTTACTCCTTTTGGTATCTTAGGTATCTTTTTTCCTCTGGCAGGGACTTATCAACACACGTACTGAGCCTTTGTTAGTCTCTTCTTTATTTTCTGCTCTCTGCAAAATGTCCTTGTGGTCCTTAAATTCTGCATTCCAGATGTCCAACTTCAACAATCCATGTTTGTGTCCCGGGCTTTAGTTCATTGAAACACATCAGGGTTGGTTTATCAAAACTTCAAGTTTCACTGATTTTCCTAAGCTGTGTTCCCACAAAAGTAACTCACAACAACTTTGCTAAATGCTAAGAGCGATTTAAGAATAACACACTATTTATAATTAATGTATGTGGATTATGATTAATTAAATGGGACAGGACAGGATAGGATGGGGTGGCAATGGGATGTGGGGTCCCTGCTCTTCCCAGAGCTGCTGTCACCAAGCTGGTGGCTGATGTTCCTCATGGTGTCCCTCCCTCCCAGCCGGACCTGTGCCTGCCAAGGCAAGGACCCCAACACCTGTGGTGCTTCCTTCTCCTTCGGCTGCTCCTGGAGCATGTACTTCAACGGCTGCAAATACGCCCGGAGCAAAACCCCCCGCAAGTTCAGGCTGGTGGGAGACAATCCCAAAGAGGTGGGTGAGGGGGTTGGAGTGGGATGGCACTGGGGAGGGGTGGGTTGGGACCTCCTTCACCTTCAGCTCCAGCTTTTGCAGCCTGAAAGTAGGATTCCTTGTGAAACCTGAAAATAGGATTCCCTGTGAATCCTGAGGATAGGGTTCCTTGCAGAATTTTTGATGGATTAGGGAGATGAGGAAAAGAAAGGTGGCGCAAATGGGGTCCCTGTAGAAGCTCCAAGGA